TTTTTTTTTTTTTTTTTTACCTCTCTCTTAGATTTTTTTGCTCCTGCTGCCTCTCTACCTGAACTCTCTCCTTTGCTTCCTAACTCATTCAGTGTTGTTTCCTGTTTGTTTCCCCTTCTTTGTTTCTTTCCTACTTAGGCTTCCCCACTCTGTATCTTTGTGGTTCTTGAGGACTTTGCCTCTTTTCCCACCTCACTCCCTCTGTGGCCTTCCCTAGTTAGATGCCAGTCCCAAATAGGTTTTCCTCATTTCAGGCCCACTTTGTTTTAGAGGGCTCTAGGGACCAATGCGGCTAAGGGTGTTAGGAAGCAGCCTTTGTGGTTGCCTTGGTGCTGCTTGAGATTTGTCCAGAAGGGGGCAGTAAGTGATCTTGGTAGTATCCCTGGCTGCTAGGCCCATGGCAGGGGTGGACCTTTCTACATTCCCATTCACCTAAAAGTTCTTTTGGGATTAGGTGTTTCATTCCATTTCTGCCCACTCCCTCCCTGCCTCGCCTCTGGTAGGTTTAATTTTATGCTCTCCTTTGTTCCAGCCTTTCTTCTTCCTGGGGATTCCCCCATTTCTCCCCCAAAGTTTGTTTGTGGTATTATAGTGGTAACTGCAGTTCTGAACTGGTTTTCTCTTCTTTTTGCCTCCTCTGGAATGTAGACTATATATGTTTAATAACTCACCTTCTCTCTCCTTGCTCAAAATGTGGGAAACACGATGACTGTGACCACGGTTGGAAATTAAACATGTTTTATGCAGATTTGGAGTAGACCTTCATCCTTGATGTGCAGCAGCCCTGGGACAGTGGTTTAATGGTGAGGGCAGTTCTGTCTCTGCTCCCTCTCTCCAGACTGCTCCTTCAGCAGGGGGGTAAAGGGCATTTGACAGGGGGAGGGGGGAAGAATGAGATTATGGAAGAACTTAGGCTCATTTCCACCCTGCTTACTTCTTCCCATCATACCCCAGAGAGGGGCCTAAATGAATTGGCCACCACAGTAGAGGGCATTGTGACTTTGTTCCTCTAGTTCTAAAGGGTTTAACCCTGAACTTAGCTATATTTATCACCTGTTGGTAGACTTTAGGGATTTCAGTGGCTAGAGAGTCCTGAACTTTGAGTGCCCCATATCACCTCCATTCTCAGATCTCCCCAGCCCTGTGTATCAGGTGTTTCTAGTTGGAACAGGGTCCCCTCACCCATTTAGTTCTGGACTTTGGCAGTGAACAAGCACGAAAGGTAAAGTTCTGGGCAATATAATAAACTTGTTTCCCCTTACAGCTGATGGCCCTATATCCCCTCTCCCTTGAGCATGTGGTTCCCCATTGTTAGGATTCCAGCCTCATTCAGAGATTCCACAAACATTTTGGGCGGAAAACAACCTTTTTCATAAAGCCTCATCCTTCCACCCCACTCCCACCACTACTGTCTTCCTCTCCTGCTACTGTTGTCTGACTCCAGGAAAAGAAAGGGATGGTGCTACCCTTAGGGTCGGTAAGGTCTGGGTGAGCCAGGCAGGCATTCCCCACTCTTACCACTTTCTTAAGCTTTGGAGACAAAGGTCTTTCCACCCTGATGCTGTGGGAAAGGGACAGGATTTAGCTGTGTAGTAAGTTTGAGAGCCCCAAATATCAGTGTGAAGTATATTATTTATATTCAGTTACTCCCTGTTCCCCTTCCAGTTTTCCTTTTCAGCCCCCCTCCTGTTATTAAAATAAGCCACCACCTCAAGGACCAGTGCTTCTGCCCTTATGAAACCCTTGAACTGCTCCAACTAGACACCCCTTTATCAACTCCATAATCTTTAATTATTACCCTCTTATTCCTCAAAATCTGATGACACTTTTCTTCCAGGCTCCTCAGAAGTCCTGCTTGGTGACAGGTTATTGATTGATAAGTTAGGAGCTCCTTTCCCAAGTGCTGCATTTGTATAATAAATAGATACCTTCCAGAGCTTCAGCCTCTCATAAGATAATGATAATGGAGAGGACTTCAGCTGGGTGGCAATTGAACAAACTTGGGAGAGGACGACCTAGTCCCTTCTGACCCTTAGTTAGCACTCAGTTTAGGATTCCAAGAAAAAGCTGGAGGGAGTCCTCTTGTGGCAGTTGTTTAAACCCAGCTTCTTTGGGGGTACATGAAGGAATGATGGGGCTACTTAACTTGGAAGGTAAATGCTTAGCACTCGGATCTTAAGACAAACGGCAACCACATCTTCTCAGAACATGAACAGCTCTTTATTCATTACTTGTCAGGAGACCAGGGCTTAGGGTCCATTTCAGGATTATCCGGGCAAGGGAGCTTCCAAAATGAGCCTAGAGAAAGCCAGTGGAAGGCCTTGGGTGGGTCCAGGTGGGATGGAGGACAGAACTGTCCCCTTTATTCCAGAATATGGGTGCAGCGATGGGGAGAATGAGTGTGTGGGTATGTATGAGTTTCTCAGACTAGAGGTATAAGGCCTGAAAGCTCTGGGGAGTTACTGCATCACTTCCAGTCCAAGTGCCTAGATTGGTCAGGGCAGAAAATCGACAGGTATTTATTTAGTACCTTCTGTTTGCAGACCTGTGCTAAGAATGGAGTCAAACCACTGTACTGAGGGAGAGACCTGGAAATTCATTTCTGGGACACTCTGGAATTCTTTGGAATACCCATAGTGCACCACGTGGGGTAGCGACAGTTGGGGAATAATTATGTAGGGGATATCCTTTCCTTTGCTGCTGCTTGGCACAGGCAGGGGTGTCTCTGGGCAGGTGGTCATAATACTAAGAACAGGCTTTTTTTCCAGTTCTGAAGGATGTGGAGGTAGGAGGGCCAAAGTCCAGTTTTCTACTTTCTAACCTGGTGATTGGAGGGATGGTGTATCATGCTGGTTACTGGGAATGATAGGAACTAAATGACTTCCTTCCTCTGCAGGTTTTTCATTATTGAGTTTCCTGGCCTTGTTTGCTGGGATGGGGTTAAGCATGACCCTGAGTTCCTGAGAAAAGGGTTAGGTCTGAGGAAATCTGAACCTTGAGTACAGTGAAGGGGGGCGGGGGGCAGTGCCACTGCAGGCAGTGGTTAGAGGTCTGGAAGTGAGGAACTTGGATCGGGACTGTTCACCATCAAGGCTTGAAGAGGTGAGTGCCTGCTTGTGTGTCACTTTAGTCAGGGGCTGCAGGAAAGAGGATATGAACTCTAGTTTAGGAGTAAATCTGGCCTCTGAACTGGATATGGTGGAGTAGAGAGCGCACTCAAGCCAGAACTCTGGCTATCTGTACCCAAAACTGAATAGCTCTACCCTACCACCCTTCCTCCAAACCAGGTGTTGAGAGCTGTCTCTGAGGAGGTCTGGCCAGCCAGTCCAGGTCAGATGGGAGATTTCAGAATAAACTTGTCTACCTCGCACCTCCACCCTTCCATCCCATACATTGTTAAGAGCTATCCTAGAACAGAATTGAGTACTAGGCCTTTTAAGGGTTGTGGGGCTTAGCTTGGGGTTCTGAACCACAGGGATTTGGATATTCTGAGTTCTGAAAGAGGGGTGCCCTCTTGGCTTTGGGTAATAGATAAGCAATGGGGCATATTGTTTTTGCCTATGCCAGATCTTGCATTAATGGGATGATACCTCCCTGGCTAGAACAGCTGCAGGGGAGAGTGGGGAGGGAGGTAATACTTCATTCTTGGATGAATGAGTGCATAACCATACCTTTAAAGCGAAAATATCTAGTACCCTGGCTGGGTGGCCTAGGTGGCTGGAGTGTTGTCTCATACACCAAAAGGTTGTGGGTTTGATCCCCAGGGTCAGGGCAGTTGGGGCGCATACAGGAGGCAACTGATCAGTGCTTCTCACATCGATTTCTCTCTCAAAAATCAATAAAAACATATCCTCAGGTGAGGATTAAAAAAAAAGAAGAAGAAAAGAAAACATCTAGAGAGTCAGGGTGTGCATGCCCTTAAAAATATGGCATTAGCCCTGGCCGGTGTGTGTAGTGGTTAGAGTGTTGACCCATGCACAAAAGGGTGTATGTTGAGTGCAGTCTGTTTGTTTACATCAGCATCACCACAAACTGGTCTATGACACTAGGACAGCTATGATATCTATGACATCACTAGGCTATAGGATTTTTTTTAGCTCCATTATAATCTTAAGGGACCACCATTGTATGTGTGGTTTATCATTGAAGTGTCATGCAGCGCAGGACCATTTATCTTGTTAGTTTATTTAATATTTAATTTAAGAAATTTTGTAACCAAAGTAATTTTTGTAAAACACTAAAACAATATATAAATATACAGTGTAACATGTGGAACCTGTTCCCTTCTACTGTTTTCCCATCCCCAAAGGTAACCACTCTCAGCTATTTGGTGAGCATCCTTCTAGTTCCTCTTCTAAATATACTACACAAATTTGGGGAGAGGTTAAACTCTATAAAGGAGCTAATCACATCTTGTCTTGTTTTTTAAAACAATGTATACATTTGAGATTTTCCATATTAGTATAGTTAGGTCTTTGTTTTTAGTGTTTTTTTTTTTTAGTATTGTATATTTATTCAAAATAAAACTTTTGTGTAGAATCTGTTATGTTCATGAGGGTATTGTTCAGCTAGTACCTGGGGGACTTCAGACATGGTCACAAACTTGTCCTTGCCATCAGTGAGCTCATTTTTTAAAGGAGATGGGGAGGAATGAGTGGGGCATACACAAATAACCACAACACAAGAAAAATAATGTCCTTGAGTGTATACCTGAAGTTCAGAAATAAGGGAACTCACTTCTAGCTCAGAATCGGTGATCATTGAGCTTGGCCTAGAGTGAGCTTGACAGGTGAAGGAAGAGCATGGACCCTGGGCACAGAGATGAAAACATGATGCAGGTTCACCTGATGTCAGACTTCCAAAAATTCCAAGTTGAAAGGTTGGGAGTGGGAGAGGGATGCTGCCTTTGATAACTGCTGGAGTGTGATGGCCCAGCCAAATGCTGCAGGGATAGGTGTGAGGAGACCTGGATCTTTGAGGCAAGGTCAGAGAGCAAACCAGCTGGACTCCGGCAATCTTGGGTTTGAATTCACCACCTAGCTAGATGACCTTGGGCAAGTTACTTCACCTGAGCACCCAGTTTCTCATCTGTAAAATAGAAACAATTATGCCTACCTTTCTGGGTGGCTTTGAGGATTACAGACTAGTGCCTGTCACACAGTAGGTAGTAATGGGTGCTATTGTGTGTCCCAGCCCCTAGCCTCCAGATCTTAGAGGGTAGGGAGGGCTCCCTGTGGCCTCCTCCCTCCAGGAGGTGGGGACAAGGTGGAGGAAGGGCTGCAGGAGGAGGAGCTGATGCGTCTCGGACCCACCCCCGTCCCGTTCAGTCTGGCCTGGGCGCTGAGGGAACCGCTGTCCTAGCCACCGCCACCCTAGCAGCCTGTCCTGGTGTCCCCCGGCCTGCTCCGCGTTCAGTCATGAGCCTGCGCCCTTCTCTGCTCCCGCTCTGTCTGCTGCCGCTACTACTCGGTGGGACGGTGTGTCGGGCTGAGACTGGGTTCGAAACCGAAAGTCCTGTCCGGACCCTCCAAGTGGAGACCCTGGTGAGGAGATTGTCCCAGTCAGTGGGGCAGGTCCTGTGCGCGAATACAGGTCTAAATGAATCTGCGAGCCGGGAGAAGTGCGGGGACTGAGTTGGGAGGTGTTGGGTCTAGGGGCATCTTTGGAGGATCCTCCGTGACTCCTGTAGTCCGATCGTAGGTGGAGCCCCCCGAACCGTGTGCGGAGCCCGCCGCCTTTGGAGATACGCTTCATATACACTACACGGTGAGGGGCTTGGGGGGGCCCAGGCGGAGCCTGGGAGGGGGCGGAGACCTGATGAAACACGTCAGCTTTGGCTTGGACACGTGGCATGTGGTGGGGGAGTAACAGGGCTCTGGGGTCTTCTAGCACGTGGCAGGCGGAGAGTGAGGGAAAGCTCCTTTTCCCTGCCCATTTCCCCTCCCTGCTTTCCCCCCAGTTCCTCCTGGGCACCAAGAAGTGAAGGGCGGAGAGATCTCCAAGAAGTGCCAGCCCTTTGGGGCTTCCTGCTCCCTTCTGCCCCCAGGGGAGTGCTAGGCGGCCGCTGCTAGGGGCTTGCCCCGCCCTGCAGCCCAGGTGAGCTCGGCGTCTGCGGGGAGGGAGCGGTAATAGCTGTGTGCTCCGGATGCTCTTCCCCCAGGGCAGCTTGGTAGATGGACGCGTTATTGACACTTCCCTGACCAGAGACCCTCTGGTTATAGAACTTGGCCAAAAGCAGGTGATCCCAGGTATGTGACCAGTGCCTCCTACTCTTTATCCCAACCTGAGTGCTTTCTTAACCCCTTCAACCCCTAAGCTACCTTAGAAATGCCCGTGGAGTAAGACCCACGTCTCTCCCAGCCACCTCCTGAGGTTCAAACCCCACTTCTAATACCCCTCTTGCCCCATACCCTACTGGAAAGAAGCAGAGATTTGAGAAGTGGGGAGCTCAACTAAGGGTCAAGGGAGAACCTTTGATCTCCACTCCTGGGGTTTTGGGAATGAAGGTAGCTTCCTGTTCAGTTGTGTCTTCTTCCTCAAGGTCTGGAGCAGAGCCTTCTAGACATGTGTGTGGGGTGAGTATCTGGGCAGAGATGGACTTGGGTACTCCCTTTGCATGGGGAGAGGCCTTTCACTGCTATCCCTGCTCCTAGAGAAGGCAGGAGAACATGGGGTAAAGGACCCTGGCTTTGTATCTGGGCATTGGGACCCCTGAGGGCATCCAAAGCCTCTCTGCCTCTCTGGCTGTGGGTTTCGTTGGAGGAGTTGAGGCATATAGGGGGATGGACACCTTTGCTGGTCAACCTGTTTGGTGCCAGGTGGGAAAGTTCATCTTTTGGGTATGAATACCCAGAGTTTTGCTGGTGGGGCTTCAGATGGACTGAATCCATTGGTCCACCTGGTCCCACCCCTGGCTGTGACTTATATTCTTTCCCTCAGAGAAAAGCGAAGGGCAATCATTCCTTCTCACTTGGCCTATGGAAAACGGGGATTTCCACCATCTATTCCAGGTAACTTGACTACAGTGCTCTCTCAAACCATCGAAATACCCAGTCTCTAAGAGCTACACAATTTGTCTGTAGCTTGAGAAGGTCTAAACTCAGTTTGCTAAAACGGACAGGAGTGGCTAGGGCCTCCTTCTGGATGGCCACTTTTTTCCTGCTTATATCACCATAGGGACTAGAGAAGCTGTTAAGATCCCTGGCTTGCCCTGTGGCAGCCAGCAGCTTTTTAGAACGGAGACACCTGTTGTGCCGCATGGATCTGCTGCCCGTGTCACCCTTCCCAGAATTCTGGACTTCTTAGTTGCTTTTTTCCTACAATTCCAAACTGTGTCATTTGTGCGGTTGGCATGGCTTCTCACCATATGTCCACCCTTCCTTTTAGCCTTCACCAGGGAAGAGATAGTAAAAATGATCACAGTCAAGTAATTTAAAATGAAATGAAACAAAAAACAACTTTTAAAAGCCAAGCCTACCCCATAACTTTAAAAGCTCTCACGGATCACTGCTGATATCTACTCTTGAAGGCCTGGGATTGGACAGATTTCTCAACATGTGTATCTCTTGCTTTTGGTTATAACAAATGTTCTGTGAGCTAAAGTGTGTTGTATATCAGAGTATTAGGGTAAAAGCTCTTATCCCAGTTCCAGCATAGAGAGAGAGCTGGAAAGAGAATAGGGGGACTAAAGAGAAACAAACTCTTACCCAAAACTCTATTACCTTCTGCTTTCTAGTGCTGCTTCTATCTGCATGTTTCTCCCCATGCCCCACCCCTTATTTCTTAAGACACATCCTTCTTTCTCTCCAGCTCTAAGGTTAAAACACTTAACTTTTCTAACAACTGCATTGAATATGCTCATTGGTGGAATTCTTAAAAGTCTAGTTTAAATTCAATTAATTTCAGCCCTGCAAAGATTGTATCCATGTGGCTGTTTAGAAATGCAGTACAGTTAGTATTGAGGTATCTCTCTCATAAATGGAGAACAGCGTGTACCTTTCAGATACACAGAAAGTTTTCCTGTGCTGTCAAAGGCCCATCATGGACACCAAGCCACATTTGTGTATTGGGGGTATGACTATCACTAGACTCTGCTCATAACCGTCTCTGCCTTTGTTTAAGGGAACTCAACCCCATATTTAAATCTTGCTGGCTTCATGGTTGTTGCTCTGGTGTAGCCTGTCTTCCTTGTTTTCATGCATTCAGAGTCCTGGATAAACTTCACAGAGATTCTAACCCCCACCTCCTCTCTGCCTCCAGCGGATGCAGTGCTGCAGTTTGACGTGGAGCTGATTGCACTGATCCGAGCCAACTACTGGCAAAAGCTGATGAAGGGCATTTTGCCTCTGGTAGGCATGGCCATGGTGCCAGCCCTCCTGAGCCTCATTGGGTATCACCTATACAAAAAGGCCAACAGACCTAAAGTCTCCAAAAAGAAGCTTAAGGAAGAGAAACGAAACAAGAGCAAAAAGAAATAATAAATAATTTTTAAAACTTCTTTGCATTCTTCACCTGATACTTTCTGAGGCTACTTTTGTAAGTGGGAATGAGGTGAAGGGGCTGGGGAAAAGGCATTCTGAGTTGGATTTTGTCTGGCGTGGAGGTATTTAGAGGCTTTGGATCACCTCTTCGCCTTGCCACCTCTTCCTGTCCTAACTTACCCCCAGGACCTGTTCTTGAATCTTCCCATCAGATCTCTAGGTCCTGAAGGTATGGGTTTTGGCTCCCATAGTGCCCTGACTCCAGGAGCAATGCTTCATTGAGAAATAAGCCTGGTAGTTGCCTAGTTATTCTTTCCATGCCCTGGGGCTACTATATTGCCATTGTTCTCAAAGTAGACTGCTCTGTCCAGTATGGCAAAGATATAAGGAGCTCATGAACTCTATGGGAACTTTTAATAACAAGAATTTCTCTGGAGGTTTGAAGAGGTTTTCTCTTTGTATCACAGGATGTGGGAGATCACAAGGGCTGCCTCAATGATGTTGTATGTGGTTGGACGTTTTTTGTCACCTGGCTGGGTTGTAGGTGTGGACAAGGGCTGGGGTAAGTTACTTCGGTGGTTGACAATGAAGAGTGGGTTGAGCTGGCTCAGCACTTCATCACTCACTGAGATGCCATCCAAGTACTGCTTGAGCATCTCCCGCAGCTTCCCATTAATCTTTAACAATTGGGCACGTCTATGTTGGAGGCTCAGTTGCTCCAGTTTCACTTTGTTGTACCTTTTCCAGAAATTCTCCATCCCTATGTAGTCTGCTATCACCTGGGAATTGATTTAAAAGGAGGTATGTGGTGGGGCCTATTAGCGAATAAAGCCCAGGGTCCCATTATCCCCAACTTTAAGCCAAGACCTCTGGGCCCTAGGAACTTTACCTTTGCCAGCTCCTCAGTAAGCACCTCTGGGCTGATTTCCTCTGTCTCCTCCTGCTCCTCGGGAGTAAATGTAGATGAATAAAAAGGCAGCACTTTTTCTTCCTCTGTTTCAAATTTCCTGCATATTTCAGCAAGTTTAAGGATCCTTTCACCCTATTGAAAGCAGGAAGACACTTTTTATTAGAATAGTGGAGTTGATTCCCTGGTTCACGCATCCAAGTGGGAGACAAGAGTAATATACACATCTAAAACAGAGTGCTTACTGTGTGCCTTGCACTATTACAAGAATTTTATATTCTTATAAAATGCACTCTTTTTTTTTTTTATCTTCACCCAAGGATATTTTTCCATTGCTTTTCAGAGAGTGGAAGGGAGAGGAAAAAACACACATTGATATGAGAGAGACAAATTGATTGGTTGCCTCCCACACACACCCCGAACGAGGCCGGTGATCGAGCCTGCAACCAAGGTATGTGCCCTTGGCTGGAATCAAACCCAGGATCCTTCAGTCCAAGGTCTGATGCTCTAACCACTGAGCAAAACCAGCTAGGGCATAAAATGCACTCATTAATTCATTCAATTTAAGATGTGAGAGGGGAGAGAACATGAAATTAAAAAGATATTCCAAGTATCCACTCAGGCAGGAAGCAGGAGGAAGCCTCGTCTACTGCTCTCAAACCCCTTTTACTTTGCAAGGAGACCGGGTTCCTTGGTTTTGTTTGGATCACCCTCTCCTTATTACCTTGTCGACAATCTTTCTCAGGGCTTTGAGGGTTGCATTACTCTCCAGTGTGAGTTTGACTAAATTCCCCTGTGCTGTTTCCCGGGCCTGAGTCCTTTGGGCCTTAAGTTTTCGTAGTTGTACAAGGACCAACTCCTTGTCATCACGAATGTACTGGTTCTGTTCTTCACTCTCACGGCTGTGCACCAGGATCTTGCCTTTTACAATAATTATGGAATCCTGGAAGAACAGAGTAGATTAGAGGAAACACTGTACTAGCTGAAGGTCTCCAGTCAGACAGGTAGAAGAACAGTTTGGGGACTGAAATCAAAGCATAGCATCCTTCCCCAACCAGTGATGAGGCCTAGTGGAAATTGGGGGAAGGTAAACAGGGGATAATGGAGCAGTTAAAGCAATGAGTATTTTTCGTTGGCTGCACTAACCTGTAGTTTCTGTATTCTTTTCATCTGTGCTTCAATATCTTTGGAGCTCTTCTCGTCCTTCACCTTCAGGGTCTCGAAGGCAATCTTTCGATCCTCTGTGGCATCAGTGTAATGCTTGAGTGCATCCTGGAACCTTCTCCACAGATCTTCTACTACATTCTCTAGTTGCAGTCTTAGAAAGTGCTTCTCTTCTATATTCTAGGAAGTGGCCCCAAAATAGTCAATGCTTGGAATTACCCTATTAGTGCCCTTTCACGTCCACCAGCAACCTCACACTCTTGCATTGTTTATAGCATAGTATAGTGCAGGGGTTGCCAATGAAAATGCCTACAAAGACCAAGCAGATGATAATATAAATAAATGCTGTGGGCTAGATGGGGCCTATGGTGAGCCAGAGAGGAAATGCTCTTTGGTGGGGGGAGTGGGGAAGGCACAGCTGCTGGGTTCCACAGCTGTCTCCATTTGGAAATATTTACCTAGATCTTAAAATTTTTCAAGAGAAGCTGAAAATTTGGATTTTTATGTAAAGTTCTCCTAATTTTTAAATGTAGGGCCCTGATTAAAATTTTTTACAGCCTGGCTGGGCGTGGCTCACTGGTTGAGCATCAACCTAGGATCCAGGAGGTCGTGGTTCGATTCCCAGTCAGGGCACATGCCCAGGTTGCAGGCTCAATCCCTAGTCAGGGGTGTGCAGGAGGCAGCCGATCAATGATGACTCTCTCATCAATGATGTTTCAACTCTCTCTCTCTCCCTCTCTCTGAAATCAATAAAAATATATTTTAAAAAAATTTTCATAAAACACTACAGGGAAAAATAAAAACATAGAACCCCATACCCAAACCCAGGTCTGCAGGCTAGTTAGTTTGCAACCTCTAGGATGGTGGAAAGCATTTTGGGCCAAGGGGCCAGAGACTGAATTCTCCTTCCACTCTGCCACAAACCAGCAGCATGAGTTTGTCAGGTCATTTTATTTTTGTGGGCTTTAGTTCCTTCATCTACAAATCACAGGGATGAAGCCAGATCTCCATGTTGCTTTTTAGCTCTAAAATGCATTTCCTTGATATTTTATAATGATCCTTCCTCCTGACCAATTTTCACAAAAGTACAAAAGGCAGTAGGGGTACCTATAGTAGCAACAAGCATTTTATTGGTTATGTTGGTTAAAGGGATCTCTTTGAGCTCTGCTAGCCTTGAGCATTTTTCTCTCACTTCTCTCCCAGCTCTTGCCCATTACTTCCCCTCTGTACCTTGTTTTTGAGATCATCCCACATGCTCTGGAACTCCAGCTTGCTTTCATACTCAGAATCTATATAGTTCTGTTCCATGGCCATGAAGACATCTTGTAAGTAGTGAATCTCTTTTTCATGTTGGTCAATAATTGTCTTCCTATGGGAGATAAGACACTGTCCCTGCTCTGAGGGATAAAGCATATGGACCAATAATGACAACTCAAAGTAGTGTGTAATAAAACTATATGAATGGCACAAACTCTCAGGTACTGAAGGAGAACACGGGAAGAGGGCTCTATTCCTTTTAGGGCCCAAAAGAATGAACACGATTATTTTATTTTGCTTTTTGAATAGGTTAATATATTCATATAATATAAAAATCAAAAAGTGCAAAAGATTATAGTGAGAAGTCTCCTTCTTGTTCCTGTCCCCTGCCAGATGGGTAATATTTTGATAGTTGAAAGTGGGTGGTGAGGTATTACAAATAGAGACCTGGCACCGGCAAAGGAAGGCTAAGGCCACAGCTTAAACCTAAATTAGTTTAGAAGGAAGTCAGGATCTTTTCTGCTGGGTGTAATGTAATTAAGGTGGGATGCTCCAGGCTGCTGGCCACCTGCTTACAGAGAACTCCTTGTAATAGGCTCTGTATACTCCCCTGGACTCGAACCCCCATACCTTTCTGTCTCAAACTCCTTGGTTAGGGTCTCCAGCTCCATGTTGTAATTCTCCTCCAGGAGGTTGAGTCGGCATCTCTGCAGGGCCAGCAGGTGGTCAATGTTGTGCAAGTGGCTGCGAAGGGCGTGGCCATACTGCTCCTCAGCTTCTGACAGGTCCTTAGCTAAAGACTGGGTAGGAAACAGAGAGTTACCATTTTGGCTGGATGGCTTCTGTGTGAGAAAATAAAAAATATATTCAGCTGATTAGTTGGATGGTATTAATGGCATTTCCTCCTAGCTCCTAATGCCAGTTCTTTGGCTATAGGAGTACTGGTTCTCCCACTCTTGAATGTAAAGTCAGAGTGACATCAGAGAACCCCATATAGCCAGCCAAGTCCTAGGGACAACAAACATTTACAATAATGGGGCTACCACTGAAAGGAATCAGAGATTCTCAGAGAAATGGCTGCTTTGAAATCTGAGGCCAAAATAAACAAGTTGAACATAGGATGTCTTGTCAGGGAAGAGAAGGAATCAAGCATTTGCCCCACCTTTCTTATATAAACTATACCTTTGGGTAAATGATGGGAAGTATCTCTCTTTTTTTTTTAACCCTCACTAGAGGATATTTTTTCCATTGCTTTACAGAGCGGAAGTGGGGTGGGGGGAGGATTGGTTGCCTCCTGCATGCACCCTGACTGGGGCAGGGGATGGAGCCTGCAACCAAGGTACATGCCCTTGGCCGGAATTGAACCTGGGACCCTTCAGTCCTTGGGCCACTGAGCCAAACCAGCTCGGGTGGAAGTACCTCTTTATAGACTTATTCAAGCTAATACATGAAAAAGGAAGGATACCATTAGGAAAACCAGCATTTTGCAAACCCCAATGAATTAATGAGAATCAACAGCTGCTAACATCACAAAAAGAGAGATAATTAGACATTTATGTGCCTCCTGATGGAAGAACACAACACCTCCAGGCTTCTAGATCCAATTACCTACCAAGATAGAAGAAGGGCAAAGTAACATGTTAAACTACAATACAGAATATTATGCAGTTATGAAAAACAAAATGAAA